TCAAAGACAAAGCAATGTTTTCTAGTTTAATGAAAAATTTGTTATTGTTTTCTGTGTGTGAGTTATAGGCAACTTGAAAAATGGTTCTCATGGCTCCCAAGGTGAAGAGATGCCTGAGTTACACGTGCTTCACGAGGCCCCAGGCTCAACACTAGCATGAATTAAATGCAACTCACATAGCAGTTAATGTGTTAAAGATATTGGACGTGTTCATACTTAATAACCTACTAAGATTTTCAGCTACTTTGATCCATTTTTCCAAAGGCTAACAACAAAACACCTAGAGCACCCTTCTTGTTATTAATAATTGCAAAATACACCCTAAAAATGGCAGTGTTTCACCACCCTAAGTCCACAAACCAAAGTGGTTTCTTTTCCATTTGAACTGAGTGTAACAACCAATGAGGCAGTACTTTCTGCTTTTTGTTTTTTAAAGACACTGATTTATTTATTTAGACAGAGTCTTGCTCTGTCGCCCCAGCTAGAGAGCAGTGGTGTGATCATAGCTCACTGCAGCCTCAAACTCCTGGGCTCAAGTGATCCTCCTCCCTCAGCCTCCCAAGTAGCTGAGTCTATAAGCTTGCAACACCACACCTGAATAATTTTTCTATTCTTTGTACAGACGGGGTCTCACTGTTGCTCAGGCTGGTCTCGAACTCCTGGCCTCAAGTAATCCTCCCGCCTTGGCCTCCCAGAGTGCTGGGATTATAGGTGTGAGTGACCTTGACCAGCCTTATTTAACTTATTTTGTATAGTCAGAAATGTGGAACCTTAGATGTCCACCATTAAGAAAAAAAAAAGGCTGAACACAAACAAGGTCAACATCCAATTTAAGGAAATTATAAGCAGAACAGCACAAGAAACCCAACTCAAGTAGACAGAGGGAAAACATAAAGAGCATAAAACAACAAAATTTAAAACAAAGCTACAATAGATTGGCAAAGATGAAAATCAATCTTAAAAAGAAAAAAAAAAACAGTGACATCAACAAACTTCTAACATGACTGATTAGGGAAGAAGAAAAAAAGATAACCAAAAATATTATAAATTGAAATTTGGACATAACTTCAAAGATTAAAGAAATGAAAAGAGATTATTTTAGACCTAAGGCCCCAAATTTGGAAAACCTAGACAAAAAGGACAAATTCCTAGAAAAACATGACTTGCCAAAACAGACTCAAGCCACAAGGAGGCGCTAAAACATCGGTGTTGGAACCTTCCAAGTCTGCCCAGGAATTTGGATCTTTAAGGGACTTATACCAGACGCCCCAAGGCCCAGGCATCTGGAATTTGCACCTGAAGCCCCTTGCACCTTCCCGTCCTTCTCTGGGGGCAGGAGGAGTGGAAATGGAGACGCCTTTACCAGGAGGTTGGGGAGGATGCTGATGCCAACCATGTATAATTTGTTAGCACTTAGGAAAGTGAAATAACTCAATGAAATAACTCAATCTGCACGACACCTCGAATCAGGTCACTATTCTATTTTATTAGTTTCCTGTTGCTGTGCCACACAGTTAAAGACTAAAAACAACGCCCGTACTTATTATCTTGCGATTTCTGTCGATTGGGTGCCTGTGGGAACAACTGAGCTTGGTGTCAGGGTCTCACAAGGCTGCAGTTAAGGTGTCACCCAGGCTGCGTTTTCATCTAGAGTGGTCCAGATGGGAAGACTCTACTCACAAGATTTTATTATTATTTTTTTAAGACAGAGTCTAGGTCTGTCGCCCTGGGTAGAGTGCAGTGGCATCGTCATGGCTCACTGAAACCTCAAAGTCCTGGGCTCAAGCGATCCTCCTGCCTCAGCCTCCCGAGTAGCTGGGACTACAGGTGCACATCACCATACCTGGCTAATTTTTCTATTTTTCATAGAGACGGGGTCTTACTCTTGCCCAGGTTGGTCTCAAACTCCTGGCCTCAAGCGATCGTCCCACCTTGGCCTCCCGGAGTGCTGGGATTACAGGTGTGAGCCAGCGCACCCAGCCCTGGCCTACAGCTTATTAATAGCATCCATTCTTTAACTAGAAATAATCAATGTACCCCAGTGGCATGTTTTGGGGTGGCATATTTTGATGCCCGTCATAGGCAAAGGCAGAATGGAGACCCCGGTCAGCTGAATGCACAGGGGTATGGAGTGAAGTGGAGGCCATTAAAATGCAGGTTCCCAGGCTCAGCCCCATAAGTGCTCGCAAAGGCGACTGAGTGTGGCCTAGACAGACACATCCATGGCATTAACAGGTGGGATTCTGACAAGCCAGCATGCTGAGACCCAAGGCCCAGGAGGAAGTTTCAGGAACCCAGCGGCAGACACCCCCGACTCTGGGCCAGGGCCCCTCTGCTAAATGGCAGACTGAAACACCCTTTTTGAGAAATCTTTCCTTGGGGGTAAAACATTTTCCATTTTCCAAGAGCCTTATATTGAATTTTGGAAACCCAGGGAGGCACAGTGTAGGCTACTACCCCCACCAATTAGCAGTGGTATCCATTGGTCAAAGAATGGGGAGCTTGAAGGGTTTGGGGGGTGTGGGAAGGACATTTTGGAGGGAGTGGGGAGCATCAATGTTCCCTCATGTAATCTTCACTGTGGTCATATGAAGGAAGGTCTATCATCTTCAAGAAGAGAAGGATAAAGTGAGAAGTGTAGAAGATTACTGCAGGGCTGGCCCCCACTTGGTTCACATCTGCCTGTATCTGCACCTTCTGGGGGTCCTCTCTCAAGCTGACTCTAGGTTTGGCCATGTGACTCACGTCGGGCAACAGGACAGCACAGAAAGCAGGAGTTTTGAAAGCGTCTGCCTATTGGGGTTTTGCTGTCTCTTCCCACAGGGCACACTGTGGCCACCACCATATGAACAAGCCTGAGTTAGCTTCCTAAAAGATGACCAAGCCCGGCTGTCCCAGCAGAGACCTCAGACACGGCAGTGAGGCTGTGACCAGAAGACCCACCCAGCCAACTCCTACAACCATAAGACATCAGTGGTTGCCGTTGGAAGCTGCTAAGTTCTGGGGCTGTTTGTTACGCAGCCAAAACTAACACGTGAAGGTACAGGACTCATTCAAAGCCACACAAGGAGCCAAAGGTGGCGAGTCTATCTCCTTACACACGACACTCTGTCTTCAGCTCAAGGAAGGCTGTTCAAAACCCTTTCAATCCCTGGTCTGCCCCATGGCCACTCACCTGCCCACCCAAACTGGGGACAGGTCTTCATTTGCAGGCTGACATGGGAAATATTTAACATGTAAGTTCCCAGCATGTTGGAATAAAGCAAGGTTTGGGGGCATCCACTGGGATTCCTGGCATGAGCCCCTTAGTGGTTGGATCACTGGAGTGTCTTGGGGTGGGGGGGGGAAAGCAGTGACTTCCCAAGTGGCATGGAAATAGTGCAATATTAATAGTGCAATCACCATTTAGCTGTACAAATATATACCTGTGGGTCCTCAGCAATTATTGAACCTCCAGTTTCATGTGCTGAAGAATTTAGAGGTTTGTCCCTTCTCAAAGCAAGTACCCACGATTTCCAAGAGGTTTCCCTTAACACAGCGCAACCCATAGCCACACCCCCACACATGCCACAGGTCCTTGCCTGGATACCACACACACAAAAAAACAAGAGTATTCTCAGATAATTTAATTGAATCAGAATTTTAATATAAACAGGTAATTATCCCATATTTTACATGCAGAATGATTTCAATATTCCAAAAAAAAAAAAAAAAAGGCATATTCTGTACATGGTGCTACTTGGCTCCTGTAGGAAAACATTGAAAAAAAATAGTAATCGAACTTCTGGTGGGTTTTTGTGTTTCTGAGTTGTTTTCTGCAAAAGCTGCGGCACCTTTGATCCTGCGCTGCTACCACGCAAGGCCGAGGCCACCCAGGCACACGAAGGGGCAAAGTATAAACACTAAAGAAGCCATTGCTGAATATGTGCACAGATGCACAATCAATTTTTTTTTGGGGGGGGGATACTATTCCTTCCTTCACAGATGGGACCAAGAGCCCCAGATCTGGTTTTTAACAACGGTTTTCATGGCCCACACCCAGGTAAAAATTTGGCTGGAGACTGATTATGGACCTCGACTGCTACCAGAAGGTGGCAGCTCAAAAAGCCACCATTGCCCTCTGTTTCTTGGGGTTCCCCTAAGGAAAGATTCGCCTTCAGTCTCAGCCCCTGACAGTCCATCATAGTCTTTTGTGTGCTCTAAGAAAATAAGCGCTGATCTGTTCTTTCCCACCCCAACCCCACTTCTGCTGTCAATCAATATTCTGAAGAACACTTCTGGAAGAATTTTCGGAAGTGACATCACTCTACGTGCACCGTTTATATCAGATCGGCATTCCCTGTTCCCCATCCCCAACAAAACCACAATTTCTGAAAAGCTCAAGATGTCAAGGACTCACCAGGTGGCATCCAAAGGACACTGAACCCCAAACCTCCACCCACCATGAAGTAGAAAAACGTTTGCTGTTGGGATGATGGGACTTGCATTGGTTTGCCAAGACGGTCAGCACAGGTCATGCCCTGACTGCATTCCTGCCCACTGGCTGGAGTGGCAGCAGGCAACAGATAAACACCTCCCCATCGATAAGCATGCTGCACGGTCAACTGTCTGCCCTGGCGGGATACAGTGGAAGGTCTGTCCATCAGTTGGCCACGAGGTCCCTAGCGGTCACGGGAATGGACGTGCAGACCCTCGCATCAATCCCTGCATTTTCTCTCAATTTTGTTCCAGAGAACCGGCAGCGCTTCCCCCAACTAGCCTCAAATTTCAGAACAGCACCCTGGACAGCTCCCAGGACGCGAACATTTCCGGACATCTTTTCGTTGTCCGTCCCTGATCAGGGAGAGTGGAATGCACTTGGCATTCTCTTCCTGGAGGAAGAAGCTACTGCACGGTTTTCACGACGTTAATGAAAAGGATTTTTAATGATGATAGTGAGCGAGACATCTTCAAACACAAACAACAAAAAAGTGTCACCCTAAGCTGGTGGTTATGTTGCATTTTTTTTTTTTTTTTTGTAACCCATCGGTACAAACTCCCAGGACAATCATGACTTTCTAGGACCAAAGTTCTGCTGTTACAAAGGCAGCATTTTCTAATGGCAAGGAAGGGTTTTGACCCCATGGCTGCTTGCTCGTTCTGTTCCACGGTGGCAGTAGGAACAGTCAAATAAAATTAGTGAAACTCGTTTGCCCAGGGTGGGCACGACCCCTCTGCCCCTCTCTCCACGGCAGGTGGAGAAGGATGAGCCTGCAAGGACAGTCCCCAAAAATGCAACAAGAGCAGCAAGGTTTGGCGAGGATGACAACAGCCCTTGCCAGCCCTGCCTAGATGCTCCTGTGGGTTCCCAAACAAGTCAAACAAGGTCAAACAGTCTCAGCTGGAGGTCAGCCAAACCCCAACGCCCGGGGTCCAAGATTTGCGGCTAAAAAAAGCATTCAGCACATTAGTGGGTTTTGGATGGGGATTTCCCCAAATTGCTCCCCTCCCCCACCCCCGTCGCCCTCCTTCCCACCGGGAGCATAAAAGGAGACATCGCATTGGGTGCTTGTGTGTGACGCGCCCGTGATCACAGTTCATTCTGGCCCCAAAGAGCATCACCGGCCTGAAAAGAGTGGGAACAGACCATGGGAGGGCCCAGGGCACCTCTGTGCTCCCTTCAGGGGGGTTGAGTGGGACAAGAGGGAAAGCTGGCTTTGCAGCAAAGCCTGCCTTCGTGCCAGCCACAGAGGGGACACAGGCCCCTCGTGGAAGCAAAGCAGACCATGTGCACATCAGAGACATCACGATGGCCTGAAATGTGGTTTATGTTTGGGGTACGTGGTATTAACAGATGGAGGATTTAAATAAAAAACCAAAAAACCAAAAAAAAAAAAAAAAAAACCAAAAAGGAAGATTAAATTCAGAGAAGACTATAACCAGCCAGGAAAAAACAAAAAAAAACAAAGGTCTATGCCTAGGTGAAGGGTACATCTCCATCCCGACTCCCTCCCTCAAAATTCCTACCGGTCTCTGGCATTCGGGATCAGCTGATACACATTTTCCCTGATTTGGACCGGATCCAGGGGGAATTCTGAAGTCTCCAAGATGTCTATTATTGAACCATATCCTAACAATACACTGAGGTAGACTGTGCTGAAAAAAAAAAAATAATACCCCACACATTCACCTGTTTATTTTTCTTTGATAAAAATGTACATGCGCTCCATTTTTTACCAGAGTGATTTTGAGTGATTTTATATATTAAAATAAATACTTTTCCCCTAATAATAAGAAAACCTTTCTGAATTAGAAAAATGTGAAAATTGCTGCTAGTGTAGTCTACGACCACTACAAACTGCCTAGGAAAAGAACAAAAAAATACCTAGAGCTACGGGTTTTGCTGTTGTTGTTGTTGTTTAAAATTGACGTACAGACCTTCCTATTTACAAAAAAAAAAAAAAATTTGGCAAAAAATAATTTCTGTACGCTTGCTTCTTGTGCCCAATCACAGGGGCTCCCCACCAATAGGTGATAGGCAATTTCTCCAATCATATAAATAAGATAGCAATAGACCATTGGGATTGGTGTCTACCTGTGCTCTTAATCAAGAATTGAGGGGACTCGGAGGTTGCCGTTATGTCTCTATCCCGTTCTTAAGTCCACAACTCTTAAGAAGGAAGCAATCAAACACTTGTGAGAAAATGCATTCAGGAATAACCCATGGGTGATGGTTTTGATTGAACCATAGTGATGAGTTCACCGTGTTCTTTATTTGAGCAGCTGTGGTTGGTTTTTGTTTTTGTTTTTGTTTTTTTTTTTTGGCCAAAGAGAAGAAGTCTCGGGTTCACGCCCATTCGGAAGTTCTCGGTAGTGTGAAGGTCTTCAACGGTTTCTCCCCCAGACTCTCCTCTCTTAGGGACTGCAACATCGTCATCACCTGAGAGTTCTGCTCAGGCACCACACCTGGCCCGCCTGAGGTCGCTGGGGCCCAGAGCAGCTACTGGGAGTTCGGTACTGAAGACAGTCAGAGGCCCTGAGGAGACCAGGAGATATTCTCAGCACCTCTCCCTTTTGTATTGCTTCAGTGTTCTCAGAGTCCATCCGTGCTGTCGCTCTTTGGGATCTGAGTTTGTCCTGTCTGCGTGGGGACTGTAGGACGTGCACACCTGGGAGAAGAAACACCAGGCGAGGAACACACGCAAAGACCAGAGGATGGACACAGGTGTTCTTGAAGGCGGGCTCAGCTCCAGGGAGCCACCAGCTTATCTGAACAGCAGACCTTGGTATCCGAACCAGAACATACGTAGAACCCAGTCTCTCGCGTGCTCCACGTGGCCAAAAGGGTTAGCAGCTAATGTGGCTTAATTCCCAGAAAATGGATGCCTTTAAGACCAAACAAAGGGGCCAACTGGTGCCTCGAGTCCTCCCCTCCCCCAACACAGGTGGACCAACTCACGACCACTCCTTCCTCCCCGGCAGGGTATAGAGTCAATAACTTACAAAGCTAATGCCAGAGATTCTTTTTTAAATTAAGTATGTTACAAATATATTCTTGGAACTCTTTTTTTTTTTTCCTTTTTCTTTTTGCATTTTTTTGTTTCTTAACGTCCTGGCTTTGTTTGGTCTTGAAAAGATCCACAATCACTCCAAACTAAATGCTCCTCCCTTGGCTCCCAGAAAACATTTTTGTTTTCTTTTTTTCACCAACGTGAAGGGAGGGGACACACCTGAGGGTAGACTTCTGGCGCAAGAAGAACCTGTTGAGGGTACGGTCTCCCGGTTGGATAAGAAGGAAGGAGAGAAAGGGTCCTGAGTTTGTGCGCACGGAACTTTCACGATCTAGTTCCCACCGCGTCAACCCAGCGTGAATACTTTGCACAGGCACACACCCCAGCCGCGTCTCACCTGGACACACACGCACACGCGTGTTACACACGTGAGCACACGCCGAGACTGCGGGCGCTTTATCCAAAGTATGAAAGCAGCAGCTATTGGTCAATCTGAGGAACTGACTTTGTAAAGAAGATGAAGAAAAAAAACAAAAATCCTTCAGCCTGGATGAGGACAAAACAAAAACAAAAACAAAAACAAAAAACAAACCTTCTTGAAGCTCACCCTTGTAAAGCTTGGAATTTTTCCTGGAACCAGGGCTGTGTTGTTTTTGTATTTTCCTTTCAGACCTCTGTTCCACAAACAAGAGGTTTTTATCTTTTATACTGTAGCTCAGACGCCAGCAAAAAAAAAAAAAATCTTTGTAAAAACAGGTGCTTTCTTTCGATCTACTAGAAAAAGAAGAGAAAAAAGAGACAGAAGACATCCTGGTTTGAAACTGTCATTGCCCAAAGAGCAGCAGCCGTGGAAACACGCCCCCTCTGGGTTCACAGTTAAATCCTCCGACCGGTGACCAGCGTGTCCTGGAGTCCCAAGGGAGCAGAAGTGCGTAGGAACCATCTCCGAGCTCCGTTCGACGTCGTGGTAGAGCCGTGAGAGACCTGAGTTTTCTGGAGGCGTTCAGCCCGGAGGAAAGCGGGCGCTGAGAACCCTTTCCCCAGCCCGGGCGGCACCGTTAGGAGGGATTGGACCGAGGCAGGGTCAGAATCCGCCCGTTCTTCTTGCCCCCGTTCATGTGGGTGTAGGGGGTGTGCTCCTCGTAGTTCCGCTTGAGGCCCAGCGAGGACCCTCCCTCCCGGCTCCCCGCCTCCTCCCTCTGACAGGACCGGTCCAGGGGCACACTCTCCATGTCCTCGAACTCCATCTCCAGCTCCTCGCTCTCGGGGGCCTTGTTCTCCTCGCTGTGGAAGAAGGACACCTCTGGGAAGCTGGGGTGCAGGTCGTCCTTGAGCAGGTTGACGATCTCCAAGAAGGTCGGCCGCATTTTGGGGTTGAACTGCCAACACATGCGCATCAGGTCGGTGCTGAGGGGGGACAGAAGGACACGGGGGTGATGAGTCTGGGCCCCCAGTCACGCAGCCCCCTCTCCTCCCCTCCCCACAGCCCCAGGCGACAGGTGCTCACGGGCGTGGGCAGTGGTCAAGGCAGAAATGCGATTCTAGGGGTGCCGGAAGCTGGTTTTGGAAAGGGCCGTCTCTTCCCAAATCTAAGTCGAGAAGGGCTCCTTCTGCACAGCACTGCGCGTGGCTTATTATTTTAGACGTCTCTGATAATCCCCCGAGATTTGGTGCATTTTTGTAAAAGTTTCATTCCCACCCTGGGATTGTTCGCAAAGGCTTCCCTGTGCCCCACGCCCTGGCAATTTTTCTAGATCTAAGGACCGTTCGGGGTTGAGATCTGTGGGGTCTGGTGGGTGCAGTGGTGTGGATTGGATTTTGGGAGCCAGCTCTGAGTGGCCACCCCATATGCAGATCCAGCCTGCACTCTCTGGAGGATGGTGGAAGGGGCCTTAGTCGTGGGACGAGTCCCTGCCTGGTGGGCCACATGGTATCTGCCTGAAGGAGACACGCTGGTGTCTAGCAACACACAAGCCCCCAGCCCTGCATCCCTCCCTCCAGGCGACCACCTTACTCAGCCAAAACCACTCAAACAGAAGCTGAGGGCTTGTGTTTTCAGTTGTACCTCTTTCCTTCTCTGCTTTAACTTTCTCTAGGGCAGGAGTTGGCAAACTCCAGCCCTCAGACCAAATCCGGCCCCCTGAATGTCTTTATAAATAAAGTTTTATCAGCACATGGCCACACCCATTCATTTGTGTAATGTATGTGGTTGCCTTTGAGTTGAGTAGCTTCGATGGAAAGCCACATGGCCCACAAAGCTGATGTGATTTACAATATTTTTACTGTATTCTCTTTACAGAAAAAGGTTTCGATCTCATGCCCTACCACCTACTTAATCTCCCTGGTCCTGAAACTAAAGCCAGCTGATAACTGGCATGGCTAGGAAAGGAACTTCAGGATACGATGGTTAGAAATAGTTTGCTCAGAGTTTCCAAGTAACTCTGCTTCATACTTTTTGCTCATAAAAGATTTCTTCACACTAGATTTTCTAAATTGATGTCTTATTCTTTGGGAGATAAAACATTAAAATGTCCTCCCTCTCTGAATTTTCAAGACAGCAAAAATTTTTCTTAATAAACACTGAAAAAGGACTTTATATGTGATGAATGCTCCTGTAGAAAGTTAGAAAACACCCCAACATATAGAGAAAATACACCTCACAGACAACTGTCCTTCAGCTATAATTTCTGGTCTTTTCTTTCTGCATACATTTGGAAATGTAGTAGATACACACTTTTCCCACTTAATTTTTTAACATAAACTTATCCACCAAGTTATAAAATAGTTTCATAAGCACCATTTGAAATGTCAATTGCTACATCATATTCATTTATCAGTTTACTTAGCAATTCTCATATGTTGGATATTTAGATCATTTCAATTGTTTTTTTTTTTTGCAACTTTAAATATTGCTCTGAATAGCAGGCACAGCAAGGTGGTAAGAATGATCTGAATGTTTATCTTGCCACGCCACTGCTAGCGCTACTTATTAAAACTCTCTTTATTTCCTTCCTTCCTTCCTTCCTTCCTTCCTTCCTTCCTTCCTTCCTTCCTTCCTTCCTTCCTTCCTTCCTTCCTTCCTTCTTTCCGTTCTAATTTGGGAAGATAGCACTCTCTCTATTTACCCTATATTTATTATGTATTGGATCATTAGTGAGGCTAAACATTTCCCAAATGTTTAATGGCAGTGTGTATGTGTTGTTCATTGGATTCTATAATAAAAATTTAAAACAAAAATATTCTGAGGGTAGGAGACATGTAACACAAGCACAAGTGTATGAAAGAATAAACAGTTAAACATAGGTCTCTCTCCACTCCAAGTACCCAGTTCCCTTCTCCCAGGTTTCTTATGCAACCTTCCAAAGATCTGATATGCAATACAAGCACACATGTAAAGATGTGATTTGCAAGCACAAGTAGGCATTTAAGAAGCATGACGTGCAAACATAAGTTCATGCAAAGACATCATATGTAAACACAAGTGTGTATGCAGTAAGTACCATGATATGCAAACACACAGGCATGTAGACACATGATATGCAAACACACACACATGTAGACATATATGCAAACACAAGAGTGAGTGCAACGATGCTATATGGAAATGCAAACATGCATGTATGTAAAGATATGCTATGCACACACAAACACATATGTAGGCATATGACATGCAAACACAAGTGTGCACATAGACAAAGGAAAGGCAAACCCTAGCATGTGAGCACAGGGCAATGCCTTTTGAATGAACACCTCACACACTGCACACCCTTTCCACACTTACACTCTCTCTGGACAGTTTTCAGGTTGATCCAGATATCCCCCATCCATGACGAATTTTAACACCTGTTCGTTAGACAGGCCTTGGTAAGGCTGCTCCGCCAAGCTGGTGATTTCCCAAAGGACCACGCCAAAGGACCTGCCGATGACAACTGTAAGTAGTAACAAAGAAGCCACAAACACACAGACACACACACATGCACACACACACACCCCTTCTTGGTTTGCCAGAACCTGGCTCTTCAGTTAATAAAACAATTCACACTGCAGTTCATAAATGCCTCTAAGATTGGTCTCCGTCAAAATGTAAGGGTAGCCGTGCAAGGGCCCTGAGGCAGGACATCGTCTTCATTTCCTTGTTAAAGAGTCCAGGAAGAAGGCAGGCTTTCTTTGCTCCCTCTTGCTGGTCACATTAGCAGGGTCACCTGGCATTCAAGCCCAGCATCTGTCCACCGGTCCACGCACAAGCAACTCACCACATGTCGGAAGAAGCGGTAAACACCCCGTCCTTCAGGGACTCCGGTGCCATCCACCGTACGGGGAGCAGGCCCTTGCCCCCTTTCCGGTAGTAATCCGTTTCGTAGATGTCTCTGGTCATTCCAAAGTCTGACAACAAACAGTTCACATGCATTTAACCTTCCGCCTGTGGCCCTATGGTCTGCCGTCTTGACCACCCTGCCCCTCGCAGAGCCCTTAGAGGTGCTCACCTGCCACATGTGCTCACCTGCCCCAGATATGTTCTCACCTGGCCCAGATGTGTGTGCTTACCTGGCCCAGGTGTGTGTAATGTGCTCACCTGCCCTAGGTTTGTTCTCACCTGCCCCAGGTGCATGTATGTGCCCACCTGCCCCAGGTATATTCTAATTTACTTCAAGTATGTGTGAGCTCACCTGGCCCAGGTATGTAGTGCTCACCTGCCCCAGGTACGTTCTCACCTGGCCCAGGTGTGTGTGCTTACCTGGCCTGGGCGTGTGTAATGTGCTCACCTGATCCAGGTATGTTCTTACCTGGCCCAGGTAAGTGTGCACTCACCTGGCCCAGGTGTGTGTGCTCACCTGCCCCAGATATGTTCTCACCTGCCCTAGGTGTGTGTGTGTGTTCACCTGTTCCAAGTGTGTGCTCACCTGCCCCATGTGTGTGTATATGCTCTCCTGCCCCAGGTGTGTGCCCATCTGGGTGGTGGCTGAACCCAGTAAGACGTTGTCAAGGTGACTTACTATGACGTGCAAGGCCCTTCCGGGCCTGGGTCCCGCCTCTCTCCTTAACCTACGTCTTATACTGCTCTGGTCCTTTCTGTGTGCATTTTATTCGCACCACGTCAGCCATCCTTCCAGCCTCACGGCCTTTCCATGTGCTGTCCCCTCCCCCGGCATGACCTCACTCGGGCCATCGTGACAGTCTTGGCAAAAATGCTGCCTCCTTGCAGAGAGAGAGAGACCTCTCCTGGGCTGCCCTCTGCACCCTGGAGTCCCTCTATCATGGAACTCTATTCTTCCTTCAGTACGCTTTGCCCAGACTTCATTATCTTGCTTGGATAAGTATTAACTATTTGATTGTTTATGCAGAGTAGCACTGTCTGGTGGAACTTTCCCTGACAGTGGACACGGTCTATATCCACACTGTCCAATATGGTCAGTACTCACGAGGCTCAGGTGGCTGCTGAATGCCTGCAATGTGGCCGGTGCAACCGATGGACTGAATTTTTACTTTCACTGAATTTAAATTAATTTAAATATAAATGGCCACAGGTGACCATACGGTGCTGGACAGCGCAGATAAAGACAGCAAGCTGCCCTCGGGTGCAGAAAAACTGTGGCGTTTGATTCGGGGTTGCATTCTAGCATCTACTGCAGTGGCTAAGCACAGACAAGGTAACACCCCTACTTTTTAAACAAGCAAATGGGTGGGTGC